GGGCAATGGATTAGAAAATGTATGTGATGCAGAACTAGAATGCTTTCATTTTATTATGATACATTAAAATGCCACTCTCTTCCCTTTCCCATATGCTGAAGAGAAAACCACCCTTATCAAAATGGGCTTCTGATCTGTGTACACAGGCTCTTCTGTGTGTACAATGGAGGGAAGTTTTAAAAGACCTTCTTAGTGCCACAGTCCAATCCGTTTCCACAGCCCTTACCCATTTGTGCCTGTCTGTGAGGTCTTAGAACAGGGTTGGGCAACCAGAGCTGGACAGTGGACCAGATCTGTATCTCCCTGTTGTTGTTTAAATCGATCTTATACTCTTAACCTTTTATCCTCTTAATCTGTGCAGTTGTTCTCCTGTTGGTAATACAGAAAGTCACTTTATACAAAGTCAGGCCATGGGACTATTGAGCTCGTTATTGTCTACACTGACTGGCAGCAGCTGCCCAGGGTTTCAGAGAGGAGCATTTGTCCTTCTGACCTGAAGAGTGAGGCCAGGACTGCCCACATGCAAAGCAAAATGCTCAGCCACTTATGTGTGGCTCTTCTTCCTGTGTTCCCAAGAGGCTGCTTGAAATAAAAACAATGATTTCTGCTTCAGTGTCAGTGTGTGTTCAATTTCCCTTTTAATAATGTCCTATGTAGAGTGCTTAAACTGCTTTGTGCACTGAGTGCCACACAATGCTCAAATGTTACAGTGTGAAGGAGTCTCTCATGCAAACACACACACACACGTGAAGAAAACAAATGCACAACAGTCCTTCTTCCGCCACTTTAAGAGATGAAAGTAGCTCCATGCATACAGTTGACAAATTACATCAAAGTACTTTGGCAGGCCATTGCCATTTTCTCATTTACTTCTTAGCACTTTTCTCTCATTAGATTTAACTTACTGCTGCGAAAGTAATGACACTGCAGCAGCATATGGCAAGCAATAGATGTCGATTCTCCTCTGTTTCCCTGTGTCTGTGGGAATGGCATGTGCAGTGCAATTCATTTGACTAGATTCCAGTCCCTCTTCGCCTTAATGTTAGGGCATGCGACCCGTTTTGTGACAATTCATTGCCACCTCTGCTTCTTCCAAGTTGCAGCGATTGCTGCTCTAATTTATACAACAACAACAACATAGACAGCTTTATAGTAAGGGCTCTTACAAGCGAGCTGTGTCGCTGATAAGCACAAAGTGTCAGGAAATCTATCTGCACTCATACACTGCAGGGAATTAAGCTGCACTGAGATTTAAAAGCGAATAAGGAATCCAATAAAACAGAAACTGCTTACTAGGGTAAGTTACAAACTCTGGGTTCTTTGGACATAAATAACCTAAAATGCTCTAAAGAGGAAAGGAGAGTAATTTCTGTGTTGTTCACAGATCTGCCTTTGCAAACCATTTTCCCAATCCAGATCTCACTCAGAGGAGGTCACTCAGAGGGGGTCACTCAGAGGAGAAGATGGTGAAATGCAAACAGGGGACACAGAAAGAGCTGAACTCCTCAATGCCTTCTTTGCCTCAGTCTTCTCCGATAAAGAAAACAATGCCCGACCTGAAGAATTTGGAGCAAATGATTCAGCAAAGGAAACACAGCCCAGAATAACTAAGGAGATAGTACAAGAATACTTGGCTAGTTTAGATGTATTCAAGTCTCCAGGGCCAGATGAACTGCATCCAAGAGTATTAAAAGAACTGGCAGATGTGATCTCAGAACCACTGGCAGTCATCTTTGAGAATTCCTGGAGAACAGGCGAAGTCCCGGCAGACTGGAGGAGGGCAAATGTTGTCCCTATTTTCAAAAAGGGGAAAGAGAGGACCCAAATAATTACCGCCCAGTCAGTCTGACATCAATACCAGGGAAGATTCTGGAGCAGATCATTAAGCAAACAGTCTGTGAGCACCTAGAAAGGAATGCTGTGATCACCAATAGTCAGCATGGATTTCTGAAAAATAAGTCATGTCAGACTAACCTGATCTCGTTTTTTGACAGAATTACAAGCCTGGTGGATGAAGGGAACGCAGTGGATGTAGCCTACCTTGATTTCAGCAAGGCATTTGACAAGGTGCCTCATGATATTCTTGTAAAGAAGCTGGTAAAATGTGGTCTTGACTATGCTACCACTCAGTGGATTTGTAACTGGCTGACTGACCGAACCCAAAGGGTGCTCATCAATGGTTCCTCTTCATCCTGGAGAAGAGTGACTAGTGGGGTGCCACAGGGTTCTGTCTTGGGCCCGGTCTTATTCAACATCTTTATCAACGACTTGGGTGATGGACTCAAGGGCATCCTGATCAAATTTGCAGATGACACCAAATTGGGAGGGGTGGCTAACACCCCAGAGGACAGGATCACACTTCAAAACGACCTTGACAGATTAGAGAACTGGGCCAAAACAAACAAGATGAATTTTAACAGGGAGAAATGTAAAGTATTGCACTTGGGCAAAAAAATGAGAGGCACAAATACAAGATGGGGGACACCTGGCTTGAGAGCAGTACATGTGAAAAGGATCTAGGAGTCTTGGTTGACCACAAACTTCACATGAGCCAACAGTGTGACGCGGCAGCTAAAAAGCCAATGCAATTCTGGGCTGCATCAATAGGAGTATAGCATCTAGATCAAGGGAAGTAATAGTGCCACTGTATTCTGCTCTGGTCAGACCTCACCTGGAGTACTGTGTCCAGTTCTGGGCACCACACTTCAAGAAGGACATTGACAAACTGGAACGTGTCCAGAGGAGGGCAACCAAAATGGTCAAAGGCCTGGAAACGATGCCTTATGAGGAACGGCTAAGAGAGCTGGGCATGTTTAGCCTGGAGAAGAGGAGGTTAAGGGGTGATATGATAGCCATGTTCAAATATATAAAAGGATGTCACATAGAGGAGGGAGAAAGGTTGTTTTCTGCTGCTCCAGAGAAGCGGACACGGAGCAATGGATCCAAACTACAAGAAAGAAGATTCCACCTAAACATTAGGAAGAACTTCCTGACAGTAAGAGCTGTTCGACAGTGGAATTTGCTGCCAAGGAGTGTGGTGGAGTCTCCTTCTTTGGAGGTCTTTAAGCAGAGGCTTGACAACCATATGTCAGGAGTGCTCTGATGGTGTTTCCTGCTTGGCAGGGGGTTGGACTCGATGGCCCTTGTGGTCTCTTCCAACTCTATGATTCTATGATTCTATGATTCTATGATTCTATGAGATCTGAACATTATGCTGTGCCGTTTGACATTGTGGTGGCTGGGGACTAAGGCAACCTTGAGATTGGAGCCATCACAATCACTTCCCACATATATTACTCGAGTGTCATGGGAAGCAGCCACAAAGGAGCAGCTACCACCCCAAGTGTTGGACTAGGACATCAGAGACCAGGGTTCAGATCTCCGCTCAGCCATGAAGCTCACTGGGTGACCATGGTCCATTCACTGCCTCTCAATCTAGCCTACTTTATAGGTGAGCAGAAAATGAGGAGGAAGAGAATGATGGATGCCACCTTGAGCTGCTTGGAGGAAAGGTGGGCTGTAAATGCAATACATACATACATGCATAAAAACACAACGGGCAGCAACAGAATCAAATCTTTGTTTGAAAATATTTTTTTTTCAATTGCTGGGAGAAGGCAAAGAAAGAAAATAATCTAACTCTTTGGGGCACGGAGCCCAGCATGACAAAAAAGCTCAAGCTGTTCAGAACTTTCCAGGTAATTAGTGGCCTCCTTCCAGGTGTTGCTGAGGAAGTCTAAGAAACCCCAGAGCACTGTGGAAAGGCTCAAAATGAAAAGAAAAAGAGAAAGAAAGAGATTCAAAATGGTACCCAAGTACATCCAAATGTTGAAACCTTGCTCTTTCATCCCAGGAACCACCTGGGATGGTTATCCCAGGAGTTATCCAACTGCATCGTGTACGGACAACTCTGTGCAATATTTAGCAGATGATTAGCATCCTGAATTACACTCATAAATAGACTGAAGGCCAGGGAAGCTGATACAATAAGAAACTCAGATGATTCCAGCACCTTGTCCCAGTCAAGCTTTCAGCAGCAGCAACTTAATTCTGTGCCACTGAAGGTTCTGAGTGGTTTTCAAGGACGGCCTCACCTTGAGTATATTACAGTAGTGCACCCAAGATGTCAATAACATGCTGATAACCTTACACACACCCTCCTTTAAAACTCATTATTAATTATTCAGCTAATGTTATGAAGCAATGTAGGGAATGTTTGTCCAAAATTGGGAGTGGGCAAGAGAGAACAAAGGGTCTTTAGGCAGATGTCATTTTACAAGGAAAATCAATGCACATGTATTCTCCACAGTAAGTGTGTTGTGTTCTGAAGGCAACTTAATCACCCTTTTCTCTATTTGTCCCACGTGCTTAGTCTAATGATAATTTACCAGTTAATTGTGGTAACATTTCCAAACAAAAGCTGTGCAGTGTGGATTAAGCAAAAGAGATGAGATGGATTCCACAAAACACCTTAACTGTCAAGGGTCAGGGTAAAGAGGTGTGTATTCAGCATGTGGTGGAACCTGTACAATAAAGATACACCTCTTTGGGTAGGAGTGCCACCATTTAGGGAATGCTGCAGAGAAAGCCTTCTCCTACATCTGTCACATTGGAGGCAGTACCTTCATGTCCAGTAGTTCATGCAGTGTTATGATTTTGTATGACAAACACAACTCTTTAGAATACCTTAGGAATATGTCTCCTTGTGGGTCATTTGTGGGTTAACCAGTGGTCATTTGCTTTCCAGCATTGCAAGGAGTTGGTCCGTTCCAACTCTTCAATTCTATGATTCTTGCTCTTTTCTTGCTATAATTTGTCACTGTTAGGCAACATTCAAACCAAATTTGACCATAGAAGATGAACAAGGAAATTCCATAACATCATGTTAAGTAAATCAGCAACATAGAATTCATATTTGGTTGCACCAATAGAATTTATTAGAATTTTAGAGTTGAAAAGGACCATGAGAGTCATCAAGTCCAACTCCCTGCAATGCAGGAATCTTTTTGAACAATATGGGGCTCAAACCCACGACCCTGAGATTAAGAGTCTCTTGCTCTCCCAAATGAGCATAAATAAGAGCTAATACAATTAAAAGTCATTGCATTCACAGACTGCATGAAACATTTGCCTGTACCCTGACCATGTAAGCATAATAAGCATGTGCACTGTGAACACTATTTGGTGATTAACTTTTCATTACCAGTCTGACTCACTAGATTTGCTTGTTTTCTTAATAAAAGAGAGTTTATTAAAGATGATCAGCAGGGGAAAATTAATGATATGTACCTTAAAACTAATTATAAATGCTTAGCAATACAAACAACCTACAACACCTAGAGTGGTATTCAACTAAGTTTTATTCAGAGTCGGCTCATTAAGTTCAACAGTCTACTCAGAGTAAAGCTTTGTTGACTACCACCCTTAGTCCTAGGCACATTATAAAGTGTGCCTGTAGAGAATTCATTCTTGTTTCTCTCATTTTAATAGAGATTGTGGTTTGAGTACTGAAGGCCTGAGGGAAAATCTGCACAGAGTGACTTCACATCAAGTGCATTCTAGCTAGATGTTAACATTTGATGAACAAATGTTGCTAAAGGCTCCCTGCTGCAGCAAAGCCTCTGTCGATGTTGCTCTGAGAATTTTCCATTTAACCTTTCATCGTGTGCACACAAACATGTTGTCTGTGCAGGAACCATGGCAAATTAAAGCACAGTCTAACCTCTATTTTATGTAGCAAAGGTTGAGAAGGCATTTGACCTCAGATCAGATTGCAGGCTATGGGGATGTCTGCCTTACCCAGCAGCCTATGGAAGGCTGGCTGGTTTTTACATTCTGGTCTATCTCACATAGTGCTTGCTTCTATCATCTCTGTTCATTACTTATGGAATACTTATACCATATAAGAAGTGGGAGCTTCAGCGGTGTTTTTGTTTTTATCTTAAAGATATATTGTTCTTCTGCCAATATTTGGGTTGCTCCAAGCCTGCTGATATCTCCCTCATGTGTATATGGTGCTGTTTTGTCTCCATAAGGGTCCATGCTTGGGGAACTGAGTCCACTATTAGTCTCTGACAGGCTTCCTCAACTTCGGCCCTCCAGATGTTTTTGGCCTACAACTCCCATGATCCTAGCTAGCAGGACCAGTGATCAGGGATGAGGGGAATTGTCGTCTCAAAACATCTGGAGGGCCGAGGTTGAGGAAGCCTTGTCCATAAGATAGATAATGGTATCTGATAGTGTCTATTGACTGGATTGGGTAGTCCTTTGATTGGTCTGGCATATGCTGTAGAAGCTTAGGAGTCACTAGGGTGGGTAACCTGCAGTCTAATTTTACAACAGTGGCAAGGAGGAGGAAAGATTAGAGGAAAACTGGATGTGAAGTTATCCCTTCCTGTTACAATTCAGCAATAAAGAAGCTTGGGTATATGACTTTGGGGAAAAAATATTTACTTCAGTTGAGAACAAAAGGGTCATCATTATAATAAGAACTTTGCTATGACTATAGCTTCTAAAAGAACACTATACTTATAATTGAATACTTAAATCATCAATTTTATTGCCAGTCTATCAAAGCCAATGGCCCATTTCTAAACAAATTTAAGTATGAGCGTCTGAGATCATATCTCCCATATGTTATCCATGAATGACTTTCTAATAAAACACAAGTGTTGGTTTCTTTTAACCAGTCTGTCAATCAGAATCTCCAAGCGTTCACCTTTCCAATATGAAATTAAATCAAATGCCTTTAATTTTGAAAGCGTTTTTCTTTGCATTTAAGGATGAGTACAAGATTAATTTAGTGAAGGTTCACCAGAGATTATCCTATCCTAAACTTTCAATGCCATGGCTCAGAAATGAGTCATCTAAGGTACTAGGTAGTAATAAAGGAGACATAAAAAGAGATTATATTGTCTCACTGTTGAATAACCACAACCAGCTGTTAGTCCTGGGAGAGAGGATAGTAAGTGGATTCATTATTGTTCTCCCAGGTGAAGACAATGGGCTGGGAAGCTAGAAGAACTGAATGCGAGGAGGAGCAGACCAGAAAAGAGCAGTTAGATAACAGTGAATGATCACAGGAATTTGAGATTAACAAGTACAGAATCAGCTAAATGTTGACTTCTTAGGTTACAGACAGCCAGAATAGGTTCGGGAGGTGGAGGGTGGATGATGAGATAAGACGTAGTGATGAAGTCTTGGAGTACTATTGGATCCAGTTTTGTCACCAGAAGCCCAAGTAGGTACAGTTTTGTTTTGTTTTGTTTTAGTTCTATCTAGTTCTATACCTCCCATCAACCCTAGCTGGCATGGTTGTGCTGGCTAGAGCCAGTGTGAGTTCTAGTCCAAACATTTGGAGGGCACCAGGTTGAGGAAGGCTAAAGTGAAGCAAAAGCTATCAAGCAGAAAGCAAAATCCTCAAGTCCTGCCATAAGGATATACAATCAAAATAATTAGTTCAACCCAGAGCTGTGTCTATTGAAATACATGAAAGTAATATTTCCTATCCGTTTGCATGTTCTTGTCATACAGAGAGTAAGCACTGTGGAAACAATGCAATGGAATCGCTGACATGTGGTACTCTTTTTCTAATGGCCTTTCTAGGAGTAGCGGGGATGTGTTAAAGTGCTAGAAAATCTTTGATTTCGGTGTGTTTGATATTTTGTAAAAGGTCTTGGCAGCATGGGCTGTTTAATAGTTAATGTGGCTTTTTCAAAAGAAAAGAAAAGGTTTCATTTAAAATACGAGAAGAAGAAAACCAGGAGACAAACACAGTTGAAATGGATTAGAAGTTTCAAACAGTTGTACTTTCTTGTAAATCTCTTTCCCTTTTACTTCTTTTAGCCATAGGCCAAAACAAAGTGCAAACAGTGGGATGCAATGGTCAATTTAAATGTAAGGCAAGCAATAAAGTAAAGCAGGAATCACAAGGCTACAATGACCCAATAATAAAATCAGAACTACTTTGCAATATACAACACCAGCATCATAAAAAAAAATCTGTGCCATTTTGCTGCTACCATAGCAAAAGTAGGTAATTCTGTGTCATCATATTCTTACCCTTATTGGCTCGTAAATAGCCTAGTTGTTGCTATACATCTGACCCACCAATAATGAGGTATAAACTTTCACATGCCAGGGCAATGAAATAGTGGAGAATGTCTTCTACCTTCTCCACAAATAGATTATAAGATATAAAAATGAATACTGTAATAATATCCAACTAAAATCAGGGCCAGCCATGTCATGCAGTAGAATGAAGTGACTTCTTTTAGGCCATAACAGGGAAATTGGGAGAAGTGATGAAGGGGAAGGGGTTAATGGAAGTCCTGGGTGTGAGCAATAGGTAGGGGTATATGGGTCTCTCTCTCTCTCTCTCTCTCTCTCTCTCTCTGTGTGTGTGTGTGTGTGTGTGTGTGTGTGTGTGAGAGAGAGAGAGAGAGAGAGAGATTTAGTCCTGTAATGATGGAGGAGGCAAGGGAAATAAAAGTAATTTGGGAGTGAGTGAGGGTGTGTACGGAGGAACCGACTGATGAGCAAATTTCCCAAGGCTGGCTTACATCTCACCTTTCATCATGATACCTATGGTATGGGGAAAACCCAAATGTTGGCAGTGATAAAAGTAGTATTTAAATTGGCTCTAAATTATCAAGAGACAAAATGATACCATAGCAAACAACAACAGCAACACTTCCTTCCTTTAGTTTCATGCTCATGCTTGCTCCCACAGTGGGTTTATCAACAGCACAATGACTGAGCCGCTGGATTGGGGCCGAAAGATAATAAATGCTGCACTGAAACACATAGATTTCAAAATATAGATTTCCCTTTGCAAACACTTTCCGGTAAGTACAGCGAGATGTAATGGAAATGTAATTAGTTAAAATCATATACATTAACTTCTCCCCATACTTAACAATAATGTAGTGCATTAGGCTGCCCTCAGTGTATTTCTACTTAATATTTATTTCGTGAAACATCTAAAACAAAATGAGGACACTTGAAATTAGAATAAATTGTTACCGTTGAAATGACCTCCTGCAGTAAAGATGAATAAGTACAGAGTACTAGGCTAATATGCTTGCATCTACTTGGTGGCAGAGGATATAATCTCAGCACTAATATGCTTTTCCAAATGTGGTGACCAATGTTCATTATTAGAGTCTTGAGACTAAGGATGCAAAAAGGCAGTGATTTCTATTGTGACCTGTATTTGTCACAAACTGCTTTGTTTCTGTTCCACTGCAGCTTGGTTTCCACTGAATACTATGTTATTCATCTCACTGTCACTCTCACTGTCTGCTATTTGATATAAGTTGTGTAACTATTCATATTACATGTAACATGTAACTTATATTCATTTCTCTGTTGTGTCAATGAAACCAGCTTCTCTTACATTCAGGGATGGATGAGTCTGCTTCTGGTCAGTCATTTTTGTGTGTCATATTTTTTATTTTTTAAAGAGTACATGAAAATGTGCATTTAAATATACATTTTTAAAAAGTATTCATGCACATTGTAAGAATACCAATTTAAATGGTTTTCATTCATTTGGGGGTTGAGAATGCCACTCTAAATTCTGATCTGCATATTAATCCAAGAGGTAGAGACCACATTAGTTCAAACTGGAATTGACAAAGATTAAATTTTTCAAGCATTCCCATTTATATTCTCTCTGTGTTTTCCCTCAGAATCTACAGTCTCCCTGCCCTGGTTGTGCCATTGCTCTCGACTGAACATCACCTCTGAATTTTCCATACCAGTTTAATCTTCCCTGCCCATGTCTTACATGATGGTAGGGATCACCGCCTTTTGCAATAGTAAATCTCACTATTGAGAGAAAAGCAGTAAAATCCTTTACATGTCTACTCAGAAGTAAACCATGAGTTCAATAATACTTACATATGGGTGAGTACATATAGGATTGCAGCCCAAATGAAATATTGCCTCCCCACCTCCATTGTGCACACCTTTGCTCACAGGCCAATAACATTCCTTTCTGGGACAACCACCCCAAAGTCTACTGAATCGGTTTTCTCCCACACAACTTTTTCAGCATTGTGTGAAGCTATTGACTCCAATTCTCTATTTGCTGCTAAGGTCAAGCACAATGAGAAGAATCTTTGCTTTTCTTCCTGAGCCAGCCTCTTAGGCTTCTGAATATTCACTGTAAGAGCATTTATTGCAGTTAGCAAATGTCCAGTGTAAGGCAATAAAAGGGTCTCCAGATTAAGTTATACATGGATGTAACTATGGGGTATTTAAGCAAAATGATTGAGTCCATAATTTGATATGAACTACGGTGACAAGAAGCTGTTCACTTGTTCGGAATGTTCCTGAAAGGGGGTGGTGGTGGTTACTTTCACCATGCCAAACCATAGCGTTGTGATGGGAGATTTAAAGCTTTCTTTCCTGGTTTCCATTCACCAGTTGGACATGTTGTTCACATTGCGATTTGAAGCTGGTTTTGTTTCAAACAAACCATAGTTAAGACTAAACACTGTTTGCAAATTCAAAGGGCACTACAAGCCATGTTAGAGCAGCTTGTTCTCATCCCATTAAAGTATGATTTGGCATGACATCTAGACCAGGTCACTGATTGTAACTCTTTTTCTGAAGCTATTTACAACACTTTGTCTAACTTCAAGTCTTCCATGTTCTGGGACCCACACATGGATACCCATGTTTCTTCATTTCACTATTGCTGTTTATTTTACATTTTTTTCCCTATAAAATTGAGGTGGCTAACAAATCAGAAAATAAAGCAATCAGAAAGCCAAAGCAGAAAAAGCTGAAAAAACTAGCAGTAGCCAGACACATAGAATGAATTGATGCCCAGAAATACCTTCAGTCAATAACAAAAAGGAGGATTTATTACTTTTACTTTCCTCTTTCTCCAAGACCTAAGATCTATTCACACACAATATCCATTCCTTTGTATTTCCTTCCTTTCCTCCTCCCCTCTGCTTTAGCCATGAAATTATCCTCTTCCCTTTCCTCTTCCTTAGCTTTCAACTGGTCTCATTTCTGTAGTCCACAGCCCATTCACTCTACCTTTTCAAATTGTGTGATGGCAAAGGAATCTCTGAACTTTCACTAAAATTTTCTCCAAAGGATTACTGAGCCTTTGCAAAGATGATGCGGGTGGGGGAGAGATGCTGTTAAAAATATAGTAATGGGTTTCTAACTTACCTCACTACAATGATCTTGACAGACACAAGGATGATGGTATTTTGATGTTATAAGTATAGACTCCAAAACTCATGAGGATAAGTGGATGTAACATCAGAAATTATTTGCTAACAATTGCCTCTCCAATACTTTTAAAATTTACATTTGTTTAACTATTAATAAGGGCACAAGCAGGCCTTGGGCTGATTAATACTCCCGGGCTTTGAAATATGCTTATAGGAGGGGAGTTATTGTTTTGTTGCTATTGTTGTTTGTGTTTTTACCTTGCATTTTTATCCTGTGAAACGCCTTGAGATCTTGATGAAGGGTGGTATATAAATCTAATAAATAAAAATAAATAAATATCTGAGTAATCTTCCATGAGGTAACTAATACTGTTTTAGGGGCAAAAGGAGGATGAAGAGTAGATGAATTTACCATTCCATTAAAACCTAGGACATGTTGTTATTCTGATTTGACAGTGGAATGGATGATCTCAGATGGCAGTGGCTTGTCCTTCATTTGAGGTTTTTAAACAGAGGTTGGATGGTCATCTGCTTAAAAACCTCAAATGAAGAACAGTCCACTGCCTTCTGAGATAATCCATTCCCCCACATTAAACAATATGAGGGGCTGAATGTTTGAGATGAAGCCATTAATTTCCTGCCTTTAATTTTCATGTCTCTAGATCTCCCTTAAAAGAGAAGAAGCTTCTGTCCAGATCATTTGATACTCAGGTGCAAAGCCCAGCACTGCCAAGCCACCCCTTCACAAAGCCAATAGCTAATTTTCTTAAGGAATTTTCTTAAGAAAACACCTTAATGTGTGAACTTCCTTTTAGTTCAAACCAGAATCAGGGCTAAACTGTTGTAGAATCTTTTAGCATTTGTAATGTTTTATCTTTTCCGGCATACTTTTAATTGCACAAGGTTTGCTGCTTTACCTAAACTGTTAAGCTAGGGTGGGCTTTACACTAAAATGAACAGAATACTAAATAAAATATATTATTTAAATGCTAATTTTAATGATAAATCTCTACGCCACTCCTTCTCTCTCTCTCTCTGCCTCAGAGCATAACTCAGATTTTGTATCCCAGGTCACGTTCCCACTGAAGAGGATATTTTACTTTGTGATATCAAGCAATTTTATTTTCTGAGCCAAAATGCATCACATAACAATAACAAATGACAGTGTGGCTAGCAACCCATTTCAGCTTCGATTCTGATTTTTTGACCACCAAATCAGAGCCTAAATCTATATTAAGATTCAAATTCAAAAACTGCCTCATTGGCTAGCTTTTGGCTGGCATTGCTCCATTGCCTATTTCAATTTCTGTACCTCCGATGGCCATCAATGATAGCCTTATAGGCAGACAAGGCTAACAAAACTGGATTTAGCAAGTGGACGCAAGTGTGTTATCTGCCTTTCCTATTTTGCAATTGTTGATACATTCACATAGCCATTTGCTGCTTCTGAAAACTTTTAGATATTTTGCTCAAGTGGAAACCTCTTGCCTGAGCTGTTGAGGGAAGTTATCTTCCTTAACCAGATAGGCTGCTCATCCAAAGTGCGCAAGCAGCATGTTTCTAGCTGTGACAGAACAGCTGCAGTGACCAAATATTTTTTAATGTCACGCTGAAATATTTTTAATTATCCCTGCTATCATAAAGAGTGCTAGGACAGAGTCCTCATGGTCGCATTAACCATCTTTATGGCTTACTCCATGAATCTGTCATTGTTTGATGAGTAATAATTGAGTACAAGACTTGTGGGTTAAGCAGTACACTGTTTATTGCTGTAAATATTTAATCTTTACAAAGTTCCCACAGGAGAATAGCCATTAGTACATGTTGAGTAGCTGCAGGTTTCTTTAAGAAAGAAGTTGCTTCCTCAGTTGCAAATAGCCTAAGGCGATAGAAGATCAGACAGAGTATATTCTTTAAATGTGATGGCATACACAATCTATCAGGCAATAGTAAAATCTGAATCAAGCAATATAAGACTATTGCTGATATCAATCATAGAATCATAGAATTGCAGAGTTGGAAGGGGCACCAAGGGTCATCTAGTCCAACCCCCTACAATACAGGAACCTCAGCTAAAACATCCATGACAGATGGCCATCCATCAAGGACTCCTAACCTGGGCCCTCGATATGTTGTTGAACTCCCAACTCCCACTAGTCAACATGGCCAGTGGTCAGGGATGATGGGCCAACATCTAGTTAGTAACAGGTTAGTCAACCTTGCTATCAGCATTGTTGTGCCTTTACATGCACAGCTGTCATGCTTTTGAAAA